AAGCAGACAAAAGTATATGTATACATACATGTGTGTAAATGTATATGTGTATATGTACAGACTGAGTTGTGAATGTATGTATTTATGTGTGTTGTGTGACACATACACATATACTTTTGTCTGCTTGTTAAATGTTTACTAGCATATATACTTACACGCACATGTAAGTACATATGCAGTTGTCTGCATGTTGTATTCAGATGCTTTATGAGAAGCCTTATTGAGATTCCCACAAGGTTTTATAAGCAATGCTCCATATAGGCATGGCATACAAGTTTGTAAGATGTATATATCCATATGTGTGTGTATATGTACATGTGTATATATATGCATTTGCAGATACAGTGTACAGATATGGATTGTGAAGGCATTGTATATGTGTGTATATACACATATTTATACATACATATACACCCATACACATAAATATACATGTAGGATGTGAATACTCATGTAAATATGCCCAAATAGATATGTGCCACATTTTTGCCTTTAGTTGAAATCTATACAGAAAAATGCACTTGTAATTGTATAAAATATATATGATCAGAATTCATGCCTGACTTGAGTAGGTGCTCATCTGGATCCCACAGTACATGTATAGGTCCGACTATTGCAGCCTATTGCCCAAGAACCTTCTATAGTTCTCTGCTACTAGTAGGATAAAATACACACTCCTTTGTGTGCCATTTAAAGCCAGCCACAATATGTCTTCATTCTATCTTTCCAGTCTTATTTCTCTTCTCTTCTAGTACTTCCTGTTGCAGCTGGGCTGGATTACTAGCTGATACCTGATCTCATCTTATCCTAATTGACCTCCATTTTGGCAGAGACTTCACATCTCTCTCTGTTGAAATACTTTTCTTCCTTCAAAACTCAGCTTAGGTACCACCTTCTTCATGGAGTCTTCTCAGTTTTCTTTAGCTAAAAATAATCTCTTCCTCCTGATTTTCTTAGAGCACTTGGGAACTCCCCTTTGTACTCATTAACCCTTCCATGTGTTATACTTATTTGTGTGCCCATCATACTTCTCTTAGAACTCTCTCACCCTAATGGATTTGAGGATATAACCTGTCATTTTTTTACCTTTGTAATTTATGCTTAGCACATTGGCACTTGGCTTGATAAATGCTCATTTTAGCTGAATTGGAATGACCCCAATCACTTTCCATTGTACTGGTCAGATTGTCGTGGGCATTGACAGAGTAGAGTTAGGATTTGGAGTTTGAATTCAGGGACTGAGTTAGATGAATGTGCATCTGAGCAAGACCAGAGCTGACTGTATTAAAAAAACAAATAGAAACATTTTCTGATTTATCTGTGTTCTTATTTCATCCTCTTTGTGTTTCATCTTCTTTCTGCTAAATTGTAATTAGAAGTGACTGCCCTGGAACCATTTGTGTCACGTGATAGATATTGTTTTGCAGTAGGGAACTGTCAAGTAGGAAAGTTAAGGAAAACATAGAAGGGCTGATACATTTGCTTCATGTAATACTATTTCTTGAAAATGCCTGAAAGTCTAAACCTGCTATAAACTGAGGATGTGTTTTAAAGATGACTTCTTTCCAGTATCGAAAAAACCCTTTGCTTTAATCTGCTTCCAGCCCAGCAAAGTTATTTAAAAATGTATTATGATTTTATAATAGACTGTTTTCACCACCAAAAACAATAGAGCCACTACACTTGGACTACTAATATCACAATCCCAGATATGTTTAGAGATGATGGGTTATAGTTAATGGATACTTATGGGTCTGGTATCCTGGAGCTGTGATGCCCTCGAGCACATTGGGTGGGCCTCCTGTGGTGAACTTAGAGGAGACCGTGGACAAGAGTAGAAAAGCAGAGGCAGACTTGGATGGGTTGCCATTTTCATCATTGAAGGGAATAGCTTACTTGATGAGATTGCAGATCGATTTGAGTATTGGATATATAATATAATTCAACTATTGAAGTGCCAAATGAGTGAAAAGCAGAGAAGCTAGATAGATATTTTTTCTGGTAAAGTTGAACTAGCAAACCAGTTGAGGACCAACCGGGAAAAACCTTCTGTAGAAGGTGGAATTTGAACAGTGTCTTGAAGGAAGCCAGAGAAGAGGTGAAAAGGGAAAGTACTCAAGGTGTGGGACAGCCAAAGGAGAGAGATAGTATATTGTTTTTGAAAACCTGTAAGTTGGACAGTGAAGCTGGATGGCAGAGGGTAGAGAGGGGAGCAGGGTATTAAGTAGGAAAGGTAGGGAGGGGCCAAATGGAAAAGAATGCCAAATGGAAGAGTTTACATTTGATTCTGTTTGCTGGTGAAATTGAACCAGTTGAATCCTAGAAAGCCTAGGTGTGTTAAATGAGTACTCTTCAAGTTTGAACTGGAGAGTCCCCCCAACCTTCTCAGGCTTATCTCACATCACTCAGATACCTTCCTTTACTATCTCCTCCTTTACTGTAGTCTCAGATGAAGAGGTGGTCCTTCTCCTAGCCAAGGCAAATCCCCTGACATCACCTTTGATCTCATTTCATCCTTGTTTCTCTAGCATCTTATCATTTACACTGTCACTAATTATCAGTCTCTCCCTATCTACTGGCTTCTTCCCTTCATTGCCTACAAACATGTCAATGTTTCCTCCACCGTTAAAAAACTCTTACTTGACCCAATTATCCTTCCCCACTATTGATCATCCTGTGTCTCTCCTCCCTTTTGTGGCTAAACTCCTAGAGAAATCAGTCTACAATAGGTCCCTCTACATCTTGCCCCCGCCACACACACACACACACACACACACACACACACACACACACACTCTCATTCTTTTTTAAACTCTCTGCAGTCTGGCTTCCAACCTCTTCATTCAATTGAAACTACTCTCTCCAAAGTTACCAGTGATCTTTTAATTGCCAAATCTTTTCTCAATCCTCATCCTTCTTGACCTACAGCATTTGACACAGTTGATCACCTCCTGGATATACTCTCTTCTCTAGGTTTTTGTAACGGTGTTCTTCTTATTTTTCTTCCTATCCATCCAACTGTTACTTCTCAGTCTCCTTTGCTGCTTTTGTCGCCCAGGTCATGCTCACTAACCATAGCTCTGTCCTGGGCTTCCTTCTCTTTTCACTCTATTCTTTCTTGCTTGATACTCTCATTAGCTCCAATGGATGCAGTTATCATCTCTTTGTTGATGATTCCCAGATCTATATATCCAAACCTTATGTGTATGCTGAGCTACAGTCATACATCTGCAGCTGCCTTTTGGACATCTCAAAGTGAATGTGCCACAGGCATCTCAAGTTCAGCATCTTCAAAACAGAACTTATCTCACTTTCCAGATCCTAACAAATTTCCCCTGTAACTGTTGAGGGCACTATCATCCTTCCAATCCCCCCAGCCTGTGACCTTGTTGTCTTTTCTACCTTCACAGCATCTATGCATCTTATATATATCCCCTTCTCTCTTCTCATTCAGCCACAACTCTAGTTCACACTCTCACCAAGTTTATCACCCCTCACGAGATTGTTGCATTAGCCTTCTAACTGATTTCCCTGCATGAAGTCTCTCCCCACTCCAGGTCATCCCCCACTCAGCTGCTAAGGTAAGGTTTCCTTAAAGAGTAGTTCTGACCATGTCACCCCTCTGCTCAAGAATTTCCAGAGGCTCCTTTTTACCTTCAGAATCAAATATAAACTCCTGTCTTTGGCATTCAAAGCTTTCTATCCTGTCCCCTCCCTACCTTTCCTGCTTAATACTTTGCTCCCCTCCCCAGCCTCTGCTATCCAGTTTCACTGACCAACTTACAGGCTTCTTGAAAATAAAATACCATCTCACTCCTTTGGCTTCCACACCTTCGATGCTTTCCCTCCTCTCCTCTTTCCTAGCTTCCTTTAAGGCTCAGCTTTCAAACTCTACCTTCTGCAAGAGGCTTTTCCTGGTTAGTCCTTCCCAGCTACTAATGCCTCCCTCTTTCAGATTAGCTTTATGTGCTCATTATAGATCTTGTATGTACCCAAGTATTTATAAGTTAGAATGTATACTCCTTGAGAACAGGACTATTTTTTGCCTTTCTTTGTATCCCCAGGGATGAGAACTATGTAAATACTTAATAAATGATTGTTGACTGACATATATGATGGTTACTGAAAAATTTTTAAAGTATTTGTTTTAAAAAACAGAGTAGAAAGATTATGATCATCTAAGATTCTTATTTGTGTTTCTATTTTTTTTTTCCTCCAAAGCGGCTGCATTTCAGCAAGGAAAAATTCCTCCCACTCCATTCTCTGCTCCTCCACCAGGAGGGGCTATGATCCCACCTCCTCCTCTCCGTAAGTTTGAAATTTTTGATTTTGCTTTTTTTGTTTGGAATTTTGGGCATTATTATCTTAGATTTTATTCAAAATGACCTTTAATTAAAATTAGTGTTTAGTAAATGCTTGGTGAATGGATGGATAATAATAATAAAAAATGGCTCTCATAGGGTAATGATTTTTGTGACCATTTCAACAGTTAGCTTTTGATTACTGGACTAACAGCATGTCTATAGGCTGATTCAAACACAAAAGGAAGCATGTGTTGTCACTGTTTACACTTAATTACATCACTGCTAGAAACTTACAAACTGCCCCTTAAGAATACCTGGGCAGACATCAGACCTGCTTTCCCTACCACACCTAGAGTAGATCGAATGATACTCTTTCTCAAAGAACAATTTTTATTCTCCCTCGTCACCACCCCCCTACCTTCACACAGTGATAAACTAGAATACATGGTTTACAGGGTCTTTGGTCTTATGAGTATAGTTTGTTGAGAAAAATTTAAGAACCTAAACCAGGAATTCTTAATTTGGGGTCTATGAACTTATTTTCTAAAAAATATTTTGATAATTTTCTATATAATTGGTTTCCTTTCTAATCCTATATATTTTATTGTATGTATTTAAAAAATATCTGTGAAGGGGTCCATGACACAAAAAAGGTTAAGAATCTAAGTAATGAAATGACAAGATTATTCAGTACTCTCAGTAATTCATACAAAATTTCAGAGTGGTGGAGGACTTCAGAGGTCATGTGATCCAATCCATATCTGAAACAGATCATCAATAGGTGACTTAACCTAACCTGTGCTTGTTGTTTGTTTTTTTTCTTTTTCATTTTTTCTTTTCCTTTTCTCCCCCAATTAACAAGCATTACTTTTCTCACCCTCTTCCCTTATAACAAATATGCATAGTCAACTAAAAACAAATCTCACATTACCTATGCCCAGAAATGTATGTCTCATTCTGCATCTTGAGTTTATCACCTGTCCATCATGAGATGGGTATCATGCTTCATCATTGATCCTCTGAAATTGTGGTTGGTCTTTGCAGCTATTAGTGTTCTTAATTCTTTCAAAGTTGCATCTTTACAATGTTTGTTATTGGATACTTTGTTCTCCTGACTCTGCTTAATTCACTCTGAAACCAATCATACAAATCTAGACTTCTCAGAAATTTGCTCAGCCATTCCTGAATTGATGAGCACCCCCTAGATTTCCATTTCTTTTTTGAATTAATTAATTATTAGTTTTCAACATTCACTTTTATAAGATTTTGAGTTCTAAGTTGTTCCTCCCTCCTTTCTCTCTTCCCCTCCAAGACAGCATGCAATCTGGTGTAGACTATATGTGTACAATCATATTAAACATATTTCCACATTAGTCATGTTGTAAAAGAAGAATCAGAGCAAAAGGGAAAAACCATGAGAAAGAAAATAAAAAGAGAGAGAAAAATAATATGCTTTGATCTGCATTTAGACTCCATGGTTCTTTCTCTGGATGTGAATAGCATCATAAGTCTTTTGGAACTGTCTTAGATCATTGCATTGCTGAGAAGAGCTAAGTCTAACAAAGCTAGTCATCAAACAATATTGATGTTACTATATATTCTGGTTCTGCTAACTTCACTCAGCATTAGTTCGTGCAAATCTTTCCAGGTTTTTCTGAAACCGCCTGCTCACCATTTCTTGTGAAACATTACATTGATATACCACAACTTGTTCAGCCATTCCCCAGTTGATGGACATCCCCTCAATTTCCAATTCTTTGCACCATAAAAAGACCTGCTATAAATATTTTTGTACATGTGGGTCCTTTTCCCTTTGTTATGATCATTGTTTTCCATTTCTTATATCTCTTTGGGGTAGAGCTCTAGTAATACAATCATTGAATCAAAGGGCATAAACAGTTTTGTCAAGTGAACAAACATTTATTAAGAGCCTGCTATGTGCCAGGCATTCCAGACTGTTTAGACTAATTCACAGCTCCACCAACTATGTAACCAAGTGGCTCAGTGGATAGGGCACTGGGCCCAGAATCAGGAAGACCTAAGTTCAGATGTGCCCTTAGACACTAATTACCTCTGCCTGCTTCAGCTTCCTCAGCACCTGCCTCTCTGAGTTGTGAGGATTAAATTAGATAATATTTGTAAAGCACCATAATAAATACTTGTTTCCTTCCTTACCTCCTTCATGTACCTTCTTTCCACAGCCACTCCAACATTTGTAATATTTTTTGTTATATTAACAGCCAGCATTTAAATTAATAGTGTTTTATAAATATTATCTCATTTTATCCTCACAACAACCCTAGGAAGTGGATGCTATTATTATCCCCATTTTATAGATGAGGAAACTGAGGCAGTGAGAGGCTGTCACCCAACATTTTATGACTAGTAAACATCTCAGGCTGGATTTGAACTCAGGTCTTCCTAATTTGAGGTCCAGCACTCAATCCATCTTGCCAATATGATGAGTAGAAGCAGGAACCTCACAGTTACTTTAATTTTCATTCTTCTAATTATTAGAAATTTGAAGCATTTTTTTCATGTTGTTGATAATGTGGATTTCTTTCTTTGAAAAATGTCCTGTTCATATCCTTTGACCATTTATCAGTTGGAGAATGGCTCTTATTCTTATAAATTTGAATCAGTTCTTTATATATCTTGAGAATCAGACCTTAACAGGGAAACTTGTTCTGTGCTTGAAAATTTCCAGGGATGGGGAATCCACTACCTCCTAAGTAGTTGCCTTTTCTGCAACTAATTATTGGGAAGCTTTTCCTTTTGTTGACCCGGTCAACAGATCTTAAACAGATCCATCTCGGAAGCTTACACCCTTCTCTCTTCTTCTGCCTTCTAGGGCTAATCAGAACCAATTTAATTCCTCTTCCCCACAATAGCCTTTAAGAAAAAAAAAAAAAAAAAAAAAAGTACACAAGGCAGCTAGGTGGCGCAGTGGATATAGCACCAGCCCTGAAGTCAGGAGGACGTGAGTTCAAATCCTGCCTCAGAGCAAACACTTGACACTAGCTGTGTGATCCTGGGCAAGTCACTTAACCCCAATTCCCCCCCCCCAAAAAAAGTACACACACATGTAATTTATTTTTTTTAACATTCTTTTCTTTTTAAATTTTTAGTTCCAAATTCTATCCCTCCCTCTCACCCCACCTACCCCCTGAGAAGACAAGCAGAATATTAACTACACATGTGAAATCATGAAAAACATTTCCATATGAGCCATATCGCAAACAAGTGAGAAGATTATACTTCAGTTTGCACTCAGAGTTCATCAGTTCTGTCTCTGGAGATGGAGAGCATTTTTTTGTCATGAATCCTTTGGAATTATCTTGGATCACTATATTGATTAGAGTAGCCAAGTCTTTCACAGTTGATCCTCATTAGAACATCACTGTTAACTACGCACAATGATCTTCTCGCTTCACTTTGCATTAGTTTCTATAGGTCTTGCTATGTTTTTTTTTTTTCTGAAACCATCCCTCTTGTCATTTCTTATAGCACAGTAGTACTCCATCACAATCATATGTCACAACTTGTTTAGCTATTCCCCAATTGATCATGATAGCCTTTCAAATACTTGAAGATAAGTTGTATGCCGTGGCTGACTCTTCTCTTCTTCAGATTAAACATTTCCATTTCCTTCAACAGATTTCCAGAGGGCATGGTTTCTAATATTTTACATCTGGATGCTTTCCCTGCCTGCCCATGCCTCTGACCCTCTCAAGTAGTCTGACTAGGGCACAGGACAATGGAATGTTAGACTTCCTCATTCTGGACACACAGCTTCTGTTAACGAAGCCTAAAATTAAATTCAGTTTTTCTGGTTATGTCATAAATTGCCACTTACTACTGTTAATTAAGTTTGAGTTTGCAGTACACTAAAAAACCTCCAAATATTTTTTGTAGGTACTATTTTTCAGCCATGGCTCCCCTATTCTATATTTGTATGGTTGCTGTTTTTTAACTCAAGTGTAAGACTTTGCATTTATCTTGTTAGATTGAGCCAATAATTCTAATTCATCAGGGTGTTTTGAGATACTGCATATTAATTAGCTCTCAGCTTTGTTTCAAGTATGCCTTGATCTAAATCACTGATACAATTGTATCACTGTATCGAGCAGTTCTATTTTGCATCACTCTAGAGACATTCCTCAAGGTTGATTTTGCTTCTGTAATCACTACACTTTGGATCTGTCAGTTTAGTTCTTAATTCAAATTATGGTACTTTTATTTAGCCCCCATCTCTCTATCTTATCTAATGGGATATCAGGCTAGACTTTGTTAAATGCCTTGCTGAGACCCAGGTGTAATCTATCTACAATATTCCTGTCTAGTAGCATTGTCAAAAAATGAAATGAAGGTAATCCCAGATAGTTTTTTCTTTCCTTAAAATATATTTTATTGAAATTTTCTGTTATTGCAGTAGTCGTTGCTAGAATTACACCTCCTTCAAGTCGAACTCTCTTTTGTAACAAAGAAAATAAACAAAAGTACTCAGCTCTCTGAACAAGACTAACAATGTTTACAGCATTACACTCATAATTTAATCTTAGAATATTATAATATCCTTTTTGTGAGAAAAGTGAAGTTTATGCTCATTATCTCTGGGACCATCACTGTTCTTTCAGTTTCTCTGAGTTTAACTTTGTGCTTATTTATGTTATTTTGGATATTGTATACATTGTTCTTTGGTTCTGCTTATTTCATTTTGCCACAGTTCATACAAATCTTTATATTTTTCTCTCAATCCCTCGGATTCATCATTTTACTATACAGTAATATTCTACCATTTTTTTCAGTCTTTCTTCAGTGAGTAGGCACCCATTTTGTTTCCAGTTCTTTGCAGCCACAAAAAGTGTTGCTATGAATATTTTGATATACAGACCTTAACTTCCTTGGGGCTTTTACCCCCACAGGAGGAACCCTGTATCAAAAAGTAGTTCAGTGACTTTTCTTGCATAATTCTAAATTGATATCCATAAGGGATCTCTGGAGCAGCTAGGTGACACATTGGATAAAGTGCTGGGACTTGAGTCAGGGAGATTTATGTTGTTGAGTTCAAATTTGGCCTCATACACTTACTAGTTGTGTGACCCTGGGCAAGTCACTTAATGCTATTTGCCTCATTTCCTCATCTGTAAAATGAACTGGAGAGGAAATGGCAAACCACTCCAGTATCTTTGCCAAGAAAACCCCAAATGGGGTCACAGAGAGTTGGAAACAATTGAAAAACAAATGAACAACAACAACAACAAGGGGCCTTCAGGGCACTTCCATCTCTAGATCCTATACTCCCATGACCAACTCATGGCACTACCATCATTGTACTTATTTTTGTGCCTATCTTCCCACAGCCCCTCCAACACTGACTGTTCCCATTTTTGGTATGACTTGCTTTTATTCAACCTATGTTAAATTTTAGTTATCATTGTTACATTTTATAAGTACTAATAAGCCATACCTTTATTAGTACTTTCTAGGATTTTGCCAAAAATTTAAATTCAGCTCTTTGGTTTGTAGTTAGAAGAATTCTCCCTCTTTCTCCTTTTAGAAAGTGATCAGGATAATGTTTCACTATCAATCATCATAAGATGTCTTCTCTGTTCCCCAAGATTTTTTTAGATAACATTGACAGTGGCTTAGCAATCACATTTACCAGTTCTTTAAATACAATGGGATACAGTTCTCTGGGCCTTTTGACTTGAACCCATTGAGAACAGCTGAATGTTCTTACCTCATCTTTAGTATCAAATCTCTGTTAACCTTTTCTTTGCCTTATATCTGAAGATTGTTTTCCTCTTTAGAAAAAAACAGAAGCTGTTATAATCATATAGAGAGGCAGTGTGGCAGAATGGAAAAAACATGGGACTTGGAGTTTGGAAACACTTGGGTTCAAATTTCACCTCTAATATTGATATTTGATAAACTGAAAAACCTTATCTACTGGGTTAATGATTCGTTGTTTGACAAAAACAGCTGAAAACCTGGAAAGCGTTGCAGTAGAAATTAGGTTTAAACTAACAGTTCATGTCATATACCACAATAAGCTCCAAATGGATACATGACCTAGATATAAAGGGTCACATCATAAAAAAATTAAAGGAGCAAGGAAGAAAACATCTTTTGCAACTATGGATAGAAGAGTTCATGACCATACTGGTGATAGAGAGGATCGTGGAAGATAAAATGGTCAGTTTTGATTACATAAAATTGAAAAGTCTCGGCAAAAAGAGGAAAAGGACCCATCAGTACAAAAATATTTGTAATAACTCTTTTTATTATAGCAAAGAGCAATAAACAGAGGGGGTCCCATCAGTTGGCAAAGGGCTAAACAAATGGTACAATAGGGATAGGTACTAGACCTTTGATTTCATTGGTTTAAGAAACTCCTGGGAAAGCAAAGTCCCTCTATAAATATAGATGAATAATTAACCTTCTCATCTTAGAAAATCGCTAATTTAAGTGACTTGCCCAAGATCACAGTGTGTGGTGGAGGTGGCACTTGAACCACCAGGGCTTCCTGGTTCTGAGACCAGCTATCCTGTAAGTTGGGATAATAATCTTTTAATATCTGCCTCATAGAGTTATTGTGAGTATCAAATGAGATAGTGTGTGTGAAATGCTTTACAAACATTAATGTGCTATATAAAAGTCAGCTATTATTATCTACACAGAATTGGGAATTTTTTAAAAATTATTTTTATTTGTTAAATATTTCCTGATTACATGTAAAACAAATTAACACCCATTTGTAAAAATTTTGAATTCCACATTCTCTCCTTCCCTCCTTCCACTCCTCCGTCTTTGAGAAGGCAAACAATTTAACATCGATTATACATGTGACATCACGTAAAACATATTTCCATATTAGCCATGTTGCAAAAGAAAACACAAACGAAATAAAATAGTACAAATAAAGTACGAAATAGTATGCTTCAGTCTGCATTCAGAGTTCTTCAGTTCTCTTTCTGGAGGTGGGTAACATCTTTCATCATGGGTCCTCTGGAATTGCCTTGGATCATTGTCTTGACCAAAGTAGCTAAGTCTTTCACAGTTGATCATCCTTACAATATTGTTGTTACTGTGTACACTATTCTCCTGGTTCTGCTCACTTCACTTTGCATCAGTTCATATAAGTCTTCTCAGGTTTTTCTAAATCATCCTGCTCATCATTTATTATAGTACAATAATATTCCATCACAATCACATACCACAGTTTGTTCAGCCATTCCCCAATTGATGCACATCCTCTTGATTTCCAGTTCTTTGCCACCACAATAAGAGCTGCTATAAATATTTTTGTACAGATAGGTTCTTTTCCCATTTCTTTCATCTCTTGGGGACACAGACCTAGTAGTTATATTAATAGCTGGGTCAAAAGGTATGCACAGTGTTTTAGCCGTTTGGGCATAGTTCCAATTTATTCTCGAGAATGGTTGGACTAGTTTACAATTCCATCAACAGTGAATTAATGTCCCAGTTTTTCTATATTGCCTCCAGCATTTGTCATTTTCTTTTTGTGTCATGTTAGCCATTCTGATAGATGGGAAGTAGTATCTCAGAGTTGTTTTAATTTGCATTTCTCTAATCAGTAGTGATTTGAAGCATTTTTTTATGTGATTATTGATAGTTTTGATTTCTTCTTCTGAAAACTGCCTGTTCATATACCATTTATCAAGTAAGGAATGTCTCTTAGTTTTATAAATTTGGCTCAGTTCCCTATATATTTGAGAAATGAGGCCTTTATCAGAAAAACTTGCTGTAAAATTTTTTCCCTCAGTTTCCTGTTTTCCTTCTAATTTTGGCTGCATTAGTTTTGTTTGTGCAAAAACTTTTTAATTTCACATAATCAAAATTATCTATTTTACTTCCTACAGTCCTCTCTATCTCTTGTTTGGTCATAAACTCTTCCCTTATCCATAGAACTGAAAGATACATTTTTCACATCCCCCCAATTTACTTATGATATCATCCTTTATATGTAAATCGTGTATCCATTTTTATTTTATCTTGGTATATGGTGTGAGATGTTGATCTGCGCCTAGTTTCTGCCAAACTGCTTTCCAGTTTTCCCAGCAGTTTTTGTCAAATGGTTGGTTCTTATCCCAAAAGCTTGAATCTTTGGATATATCAAACATTTACTATGGTCATTTACTGCTATGTATTGTATACCTGTTCCACTGATCCACTACTCTATTTCTTGGCCAGTACCAGATGTTTTGATGATTACTACTTTGTAATATAGTTTGAAATCTAGAACTTCTAGGTTATCTTGGGAGTATTTTCTGATAGGCTTTTTATATACGGTTTCTATACACAGGACCCTCGGGTAGTCAGTCTATCAACAAGCATTTATTAAGTGCTTATTATGTGCACATACTCTGCTGAGCACTGGGAATACAAAAAAAAAAAAAAAAAGCAAAAAAAAACCTTTAAAAAACCCTCAACCAACCCAAAACAAAACTCCTTGCTTACAAAGAGCTAACTAAAGGGGGTGACAGTGTGTAAAGACCTGTGTACAGACAAGTTATACACAGAATAAATGGGAAGTAATCCCAGGGAGACAGCATTAACTTAAGGTATTGAGGAAAGTAGGGGCAAGCAATGTAATATAGCTGATCCTGACTTTTATGTTATTTCTGGAAATTATGTGGCAAGTTGGTCTAAGCATGTGTCTATGTGCCATTTCATCTATTTGACCATGTTCAGTATCATTGATTGATAAAAGCTATAGAATGAGCAGGTGAGGTTGTTAAGAAGTACAATATAAGAATTTGTTAGGCTATGTTGAGTGAGTGGTATAGTAAGATTTTTAAGAGTCTAAACCTGCCTAAAGTAGAAATCTGCATATACTTTTTAATGTATTTAAGAAATACTGCCTTTCAAAGAACATCTTAAAATGATTTTTCCAAATTTAGGAATATCATTCACTTTAGTCCCTCTTCAGCTCTTTACCTTGAATTCTGTAAAAGCTACCATTGCTTTCTTTGAATAAACTTCCCTTGGAGATTGTTGATCTGAAGGGATTTAATTTGGGTCAGGCCTTTGTGTGCAAACTTTCATGTGTTTAGCCATATAACCATGAATTTTCTAACATACTGCTGTGAGGCCAAAGGTGGAAAAAAACTATAATAGGCTTTTTGTTGAGTAATGTTAGCATGTTAATGAGAACCTGTTTTAAGTTAGAAGTACACATTTTCTATATGTTAACATCCCTAAGCCCAGGATGGATGTTTTCTTTCAGCGGGTCCTCCTCGACCTGGTATGATGCCAGCACCCCATATGGGAGGGCCCCCTATGATGCCAATGATGGGCCCCCCTCCTCCTGGAATGATGCCTGTGGGACCTGGTAAGTTTGAACCTCTTTCCTCCCCCAAGGAAATTAAATAGGACCCTTAGTCTACTGTCTTAATTTTCTCTCTAGTGAAGTAATTTTTAATGAATCCTATTTTTAAAGAAGTAATGAAGTCTGTTGCTTGTTGGTTCTCAATGTAGGTAAGAAGATGCCAAATAACCTTATGTTGCCATTGCAAATAAAGCAACACCATAACCTGGTTCTGGCTTCTTTTTTAGATTCTTCAACACACCCTCCTGCTCCCCCTTCCTCTATTAATTCTCAATTTCTGGCCTCATTTGCAATGAGTGTATGGATATATTTCATTGAGACTGGGTAGGTAGATAGTTATTTGCACAACCAACTTAGTTACTGAACTTTGGAGCAGAGTTCTTCCCAGTTCCCATCACCTAAAGAGGCAGCGTCATTTGCTGATTAAGGATCAAACCATTTATAGACAATGACATTGAGGGGTCATTTTTCATCGTTTGCATATTTACCATTGATGCAATGTGGAATTAATCCATAGTTTTGGTAAAATAGCTCACATTTATCTAGCGCTTTTTATCACAACCATCTTGTGAAGTAGGTATTCTGGGCATATGCCCTTCTACAGGTGAGGAACCTGGGGTACAGACACATTGCTTTATTCTAGATTACATAGCCAGTGTGGCCAACTTGTTACCTGAATGTAGGTCTTTGGACTCTTAAGTCCAGAGCACTTCCAGTTATATCATACTGATGTTCTAATATCATGACTTTTGTCAGCCTTAGTACAACACCATTGGATATGGTTATAGGTACCAAAATTCTTGCCTACTACCCATTTCTTATGGATTTTTTCAATTTTATAGTCAAACCTTAGGACAGTAGATCCATGCTTATTTGCTTAGCTTGCATAATGATAGAACATTTTATAAACCTTATTGGTTACAGGTGCCAAAGGGCCCTAGACATCACCTTTTTTTCTTCCCAGTTTTCATTAATTATGTCATGGTCTCTTGTATGGCCATGAGCTGTACATGGTTATTAACACATTCTTATCATGACTCCCACTCACTGTTCTCACCAAATTGCACACTAACTTTTGGAGGCCGAATTGCCCAGTGTGTTCTGCTCACATTCATGATAGTGAAATAGCCTCTGACTATGTGAGGCCTAACAGACTTAAAGGGCTGATTTATGTGACTCAACTGTGCATTTCCCCAGTATGAGGGAAATGAAGACAATTTGGGAAACTGTCACCACTGGTGCCTTCTGAAAAGGAGCCAATTTTTTTCAAAGTAGTCTATTAATAGTTTGTTCTATCATTGGGTCATCCATGATTTACAGACAGAATGATTTTGCAACATTTCCTCTAGTATGCTTTGTAAGCATATTACAGATGGAGAATGGGAAAGGAGAGGGTAAAAGGCAGTCTAGAATGTCTCTCATGACTGACTTCTAATGTACTTTGTTTTTGTCACAACCCTGTAGCTCCTGGGATGAGGCCGCCCATGGGAGGCCACATGCCTATGATGCCTGGACCCCCAATGATGAGACCTCCTGCCCGTCCCATGATGGTGCCCACTCGGCCAGGAATGACCCGCCCAGACAGATAAGAATAAAGGGAAATCAGTTTGTGTCATTTTTTTATTCCTTGTTCTACTCCACCCAAACACCATGGTGCTGCACCTTCTGGGGTGTTTTCCAACAGCATGGCAAGGAAGACTTGCTCCCACTTCTGTCAAAGAAGAAACCGTTTGGAAGGGAGCAGTGGGACAGAAATGCAGCTTACATTTACTTTGTGATGTGTAAAAATAAAAGTATTGACTGTTTTAGCTATAGAAGGGTTTTTTTCACTGATTTTTGTTGTTGCAAGATGAAGAATTCCAAATATGACTCTCCAACCTTGATGTTTAGTTCACATTCTCTCATTTCATTGTATTTTCCCTTTCTTAGATTCTTGTCTTTCAGCTGTAGAACATTTTCGTAGGGGACTGCCCCCTAGACAAAGTTCCTTATGTATTATAAGCTTTGTAAATCTAGCACTTGTAGGCCTTTTATTGACTCAAAGAATAAATAAAAACACACTTTCTTCATCAGGTCCCAGTGACATCACTTCATGTATAGAATTAGTGTGTAATACTGCTGCTCTTCAGCCTGGAATAGGGACGAATGCTGCATGGTATGTAGTAGAAACTATCAGAATTTTATAGCTTTTTTTTTTCTTCATGTTTCTGGGAATTAAAATTGAGAGAAAACGGTGCAACTAAGCAGAACCAAGAAAACAAAATACACAATGACTTTAAACAACATAAACATAAAAAATGAATACATAATTATAAAGACCAAACTCACCCTCAGAAAGAATTTGCCTCCCTCCCTTCTTTGCCCAGAAAGGGGATTATGGCTGTGGAATACTGTCAGAAACACTTGGAGTGCTCGTTGCTCCTGGTGAGGTGCCTTTTTACCCTGTTTTTATTCTGTTACAAGAAACAGCTCAAACTGCTCACTGGGTAAGGGAGGAGGGTGAGTCATGGTTGGAAACAAAGGTGATGTAAAAACAAAAGATAACGATAAAAATATTTTTAAGAAAAGAAATTGGTACATTGATGCCAGTTGGTATGGCATCCTCTTCTTTAGAATTCTGCCCACCACATCTCTGTCCTGGAAAGGCAGTGTGCTTGCAGGAGAAAAGCCAGAGGCACAGCAGGCAAGGAGCTCTGTTGGTATTCTTAACAGTGAGAATCAGAACTCTCAACAGCTGCCATCTGAAATTGCCATTGAAATTGCTGTTACAGAATAATGGCTTCTTGCAGCAGAACAATATTTTAACAGTCTTTAAAAAAAACTTTATTGCTGAATTTTGTTTTTATACAACAATCACTTTCCAATAGAACCCCTTGCCTAATAGTACCTTCCTTTAGTAAAAAGCAATTAAGTAAAACTTTTGATAAAGCAATTGGGAAGGATAGAACATGTAACATTCCATCCTTGTACCTTAACATTTCTTAACAGAATTGCTAAGAAAGTATTTTAATAGTCATTGGGATGAAACATTGATCATTGCATTTCATCCAATTTTTCTTGTCTTTAAGTATTGTCTTCATTTATATTATTTTAGTTATTGTGTGTATTCTCTTTGTTCTGCTCTCTTGATCTGTATCCTTTTAGATTTTTCTGAGTGATTTTTATATAAAAATCTAAGATCACTATCCTACTTATAAAAATATGCAATACACATTTACTTTTAAACTCAACTATTAGTATTAATATTTTGAAGAAGAACTAATTTAGGCAAAGAAAATTATTTTTAAAAAGAATAGTAACAACTCTAACTTTCCTTATTAAATCTGATGATGAATTATTTCTTGCTTCCTGGTGTCTCACCCTACATCTCTTTATGGGAGAAACATTTGGTTTCCAATACTTTTGTCAAGAGACCCCTGGAGTCTGTTTTTTTCTTACTCTTGACACAACTAATCACAGAAGACTATTGTGCATATCAGCTGAATTTTTTTTTTTAGAGTGAAAATAAGTGGGAAAATGAGCTAAATTTCTTAAATTGGTATTTTGGTAGTCTCATATTTACTGAAGAATTATTGATTTTCTGGAAAAAGTTGATTTCCCAGTCTCAGTGAATCTTGGTATAAATCTTTGCTCGATTAACAAACATCCATTCCTGATTCTTCTCTGCAGAGGACCTTGCCTTGGCTTCTACTTTTTTATTTATTTATTTATTTATTGAGAAAATAGAGGCTATATTCTGGAGCCCTTCTCTTCCTCACTTTCCCTCAAAACTGCTACATAATCCCTCACTCTCCTTTCCCTTCCATCTCTGAGGAAAAACTACATCTACTTCTTGCCTTTGATCATAACTCCTCCCATCTCCCCCAGGATCCTGCCTCTAGGATCACTTCCCACCCCTTCACATTTTCAACCTCCACTTATCTACTACATAAATGCCCAAGTCTCACCAGTTCTTTAAAAATCTCTTCACCTTCCAGTGCCTTGCATTTTCATGCTGCATCTTTCCTCCCTTTCACAGCTAAACTCCTACAAAAAGCCATTTAAAGGCATTGCCTCTACTTCTCCACCTCTCACTCTTCAGCCTCTTGCAATCTGTCCTCTGATTCTACCACTCCACTGAAATTGCTTCCTTCAAGGTTACCAGTGATGTCAGTTGTTAAATCCGATAGCCTTTTTTTTTTCCTGAGTCCTCATCCCTCTTAACCTCTTTGTAACTTTTGACACTGTTGACCTTCGGATATTCTCACCCTTGATTTTTCTTTAAAAAGTCGAATTTACTTTTTATTATGAAATTTAACACAAACACAAATATTTTAATATATAAAGAAGCACAACAAAGAAGATTGTCAATGAAACTATGAACTGTTATGTCCTTGACTTGGGGGGGGGTCATATGTCTTGTAGTAGTATTACTGTTAGGTCAGGTTAGTGACTTTTGGGGTTTTTTCTAGAGTGAATGTACCAATTAAGGTCTCCAACAATACTGTGCTAGTGTGTGTACTGTCCCAGGGACTCTCCAATATTGACCATTTTGTTTGATGTGTGCAAAGTGAAACCACAGAGTTGTTTAAAATGCATTTTTCTTATTTGTGATTTGGGGCCTTCTTTCATATGGCTGTTTCTTGCAATTTCTTCTTTTGAGCCTGCCTGTTTATATCTTTTAATTAGTTATCTTTTGGGGCTCTTATTGTTACATATTTGTATACACACACACACACACATCAAATCTTTATTGGAGTTATGCTATGAAGATTTTTCCCAGATAACTTTTTTTCTAATTTTAGCTGCACTGACTTTGTTCACGCAAAAGCTTTTCAATTTTATGCGATAAGATTGCTCTTATCCTCAACTCTTAAGTGGACCTCAGGCCTTGCCCACTCCCCAAGTCTTGTCAGTCCTCCCTCCACCACATGGCATAGAGCAACCATCTCGGACAGTAGCCTCCTAATTGGTCTCTCTGGTTCTGGTCTCTTCCCTCGCCAATCCAACCTCCACACGTTTGCTCACGTACCGAGTGAACCGTAGGGCTCCCGGCTCATTCATCCGATCAAAAATGTTCATAGCGGTTACAGCCGAGAACCGTCTCCGTGGCGACTGCGCCGGACCCTCCCCCAGACGGAGGCTGCCAAGGCTCCTACCACATTCTCTGAGGAAGGCGATTAGAGCCGTAGACCGGACGGTCGCTTTAAGGGATCTAGTGAGGCACCGCCTCCCTCCTCCCCGGCGTCCCGCTGGGAGGCGGCGCGGTGTCGGGGCACTCGGGGCGGGGGGGGTCTACTGAGCCGCGGGGATTTTCCCTGGGCCCAAGGATTCTCCTGCATGCGGAGGCCACCTCCCCTCGGACCCCTGACCTTGTCGACACCGCCCCCCCATCCCTGTCCCCCGTCCTGGAGGATCAGCCCAACTTTGGCCAGGTGTCTGACCACGGGCCAGAGCTGCACCGGCCCCTCCCCGGAATCGTCCTCCTTTCCCCTGTTTGCCTCCTTCGCCCCTCCCTCCGGGCACAGGACCCTATTCCTGCGGGCCCCCAGCTTGTGGCCCTGGACCGATCTACCTCCAGGGCCTTAAGGCCCAAGACACCCCGAAGGAATGCAGTTCCACCCTCAGGTCGCGCCCCGGGTCTGGGGAGGTCCCGAGCCCAGGTTGGGCAGCCTCCTGCGGAAGAAGGACGCCGTGGGGCCGGGCGCCTTGCTGGGCAGCTTTCCCAAGGTGGTCTGAGATGTGGCTCTGGTGTTTGTGGCCGCAGGTACCACTTCCTCCACTGAATGACAGTGATGTGAAGCCCCACGTCCTGGTTTGTGTGCTACCACAATTAGGTCCTGACTTCTCTCACCTTGGGAACCCCGGTACTGTTCTGACGGCCTGGGTTGGAATGGAGAATTAATGGACTCAAATTGACAACCTCAGTTTGCCACAGTTCCTCATCTGTAAAATAAGAATAATAGTAGCACCTCGGGCCTCTATGGGTTGTTGTGAGGATACAATTAGATGATCATTGTAAAGCTCTTACCACAGTGCCTGGCACGTAGTAGCGTGCTCATAAATGTTGTTCAATCCTGTCCAGCTCTTTGTGACCTCATTTGGGGTTTTCTTGGCAGATACTGGAGTGGTTATTTTCTCTCCAGTTCCTTTTACAGATAAGGAAACTGAGGCAAACAGGGTTAAGTGACTTGTCCAGGGTCACATAACTAGTGAATGCCTGAGGCTGGATTTTAACTCAGGTCTTCCTGACTTAAAGATGGGTGCTCTATCCACTATACCACCCAGCTATTCTACATAAATGTTAGCTATTATTATTTAGACCCTTCCTCACCCAAAGTTTCAGTCTGGTCAATCACTTCCAACCCAGGGTCACTGTAAACCTGGTTCACACATGCAACCCAGATCATGGCTCCAAGCAGCTACTTCTTATGTTGCTACAGTGTAAGCAGGGGTACGGGGTTGCCTTGTACTGCCATCTATCACTTTGACTCTCCAGGATCTAGGCCTTCAGTCTGTTAGGTGGCAAGTGCTGTGCTGGTGACTGTAGAGCATTATATTTCCTAGTGTCTGGCTGGGGCTGGTCTCTTCTCTCTTCATCCTCTTCTCCTTTACTTACAGGATGCACAGGATCTTCACCGTGAAGACTGTGGACCCTTTTGATGACCGCAAGGGGTGTGCTGTCTCTGTACCCGTGATGGATAACCCCATAAAAAGGTTATAGATCTAGTTAGGTTTACTGTTTTCCCTCTCCCTTCCTCTAAAAGGCTGCCAGGAGGCTCTCCTGTTACCTCATCCTTCCCCAAGTGTTTTATCTTTCCAATCTCTTACTCTCTTCTCCACCCCCACCCCCATTTAATTAGGTTCAGCATTCTTAGTTGTTAAATGCCTAGTCGGTGCTGGCTAGGTACTCAAAATTAAAAATGAAGCAGATAGAGTACTGGGCCTGAAGTCAGGAAGATCTGAGTTCAAATCTAACCTCAGATACTAGCTGTGTGACACTAGGTAAGTCATTCAACCTTTGTCTTCTTCAGTTTCCTCAACTATAAAATGGTAATAATAGTATCACCTACCTCCCAGTGTTGTGAAGATCAAATGAAATACTATTTGTGAAGCACTTAGCACGGGGTCTGGCACAGAGCAGGTGCTTAATAAGTACTCGTTCCCTTCCCTTCTTGAGTTTAGTTGTTTCTATGAGTATGTACTAAATTGGAATTGTAACTGTTAACAACGGAATTTATTTTTCTTTTTTTAACTTTATTAATATATTTTGATTTATCAATAATCACTTCCATATGCTTTTGAGTTTAAAATTTTTCTCCCCCTTCCTCCGCACCACTCTCCCCAAGACGGCGCACAGTCTGATGTAGGCTATACATTTACATTCATATTAAACATATTTTCACATTAGTGATGTTGTAAGTAGAAATTAAGACCAATAGGAGGAACCATCAGAAAGAGGAAACAAAACTCAACAGAAGAGAAAAAAATAGTAATTCGACTTTCATAGTTCTTTCTTTGGATGTGGATAGCATTTTCCATCACAAGGCCTCTGGATATGTCTTATATCCTTGTATTGCCAGGAAGGGTTAAGTTTATCAATATTAGTCATCACACAACGTGGCTGTTATTGTGTACAACATTCTCTTGGTTCTGCTCACTTCATTCAGCATCAGACCATACAAATCTTTCCAGGTTTTTATGAAGTCAGCCTGTTCATCATTTCTTATAGCACAATAGTATTCCATTCCATAAGCTTTTGAGTTTTACATTTTTCTCTCCTTCCCTCCTCACCTCTCTCCCCAAGACGGCACGCAATCTGATATAGGCTTTACATATACATTCGTATTAAACATATTTTCACATTAGTGATGTTGTAAGTAAGAATTAGAACAAATGGGAGGAACCATCAGAAGAGGAAACAAAACAGAAGAAAAAATATAGCAAATAGTATGTAAAGAAATATATTTTTAACCCTTCATTATGAAATACAGGACTGATTTATTACCACTGAATTATATTTATGAGTATAATTTTGATCCAAGAACAAGACAATAGATTGTAGTGTATGAAAAGAGAACTGAGATGTTCAGTCTTATGTACTTTAATGAAGATGTGATTTAGTCTTAAGTACTTTAATGAAGTAACAGGAATTTAGAGGAAGTTGTCTGCTTCCTTATTTGTGAATGTATAGCTTTAGCCACTGGCATACAGAGTATAAATAACCATTAGATTACCATTGCAGTTTCTAGTGCCTTTATAATCATTCAGGATCATTTACTTCTGAGCTGCCTGAGAAACAGGATGCCATGCATGCAAGCCTGACCTGATTTAGTGATCTTGTATGGAAAAAGTATAGTGGTAATTAAATGTTTGACCTAGTTAATTGTGCTTCTTAACACGATCTTATGAGGTGTATCTCCTTTTCATGGATAAATCTCATAACATCTCACAGGAAAGAGAGGTAGATTTGGAGGGAAAGGACACAGGTTCAAATTGATTGTGGGCAAGTCACCTCATTTCTCTGGGTCTTGATGTCTTCATCTGTAAAATTAGAGAGTTGTACTAGCTGAGCTCCCAAGCCTCTTCCAGTTCTAAATCTTTAATCTTAGATATGCTATCTTTGGTAAGCATGAGGAAACAAGACTGGGCCTTTCTTGGTTTGTACTTTACTCAAGGTACTTTTCCCATTTTCTTTGTGATATTTATGAAAATTCAATTCAATGAAAATTTATTAACACTAGGACCATATGTGTCAGTTAATACAAGATATAATTTTACTTTGAAATAAAATTTTTCATCGTATCATTTCTATTTTCTTTGCCTTATGGATAAAAAAAATGCACTTTGTCAACTGACATAGGTTAGTCCTTTGATGTATTCTTAAATTTTAGTCCTTTTAATGTAAACTTTTACTATGGGCAGGGCACTGGCAGAGTGCTAAGTGCTGGGAGAACAAAGACCAAAAATGATGTGGTCTCTGAACTCAAGGAGCTTACAATCTACTTGTAGGATACAACCAATACACAGAAAAGTGTGATACAAAGTAATTTGAGGAGAGAGGACAAGCAAATGGTGGGGAATGAAGAACAGGTCTAAGGGGAGAGGGCATTTAAAAAGTTGTGCTTTAGTTGAGCCTCAAAAGAAAGTAAGGGTTCTAACAGTATTCTGAAGAAGTACATTTATAGGAATCTGTCTTGATAGAATCATCTCCATTAATAACCTTTTTTATTCTATGTCTCCTTCGCACTTAGTTTAGTTTGTTTTTCAGCAAGTTACAGATATATAAGATGTTCCAAAAATCTTACTGCACTCTAAGCTTTAAAAGCTTTAATAGATTAGAACTGCACTGAGACTTTTGGGACACCTTATATTAACACATCATTTTCTAATTGTTCCCAAGAGGCATCATGGTGTAGTGGATGTAGTCCTGAACTTAAGGCCAAAAGATCTACCTCTGAACCCTGCTTCTGATACTTCGTAGCTGTGTAATTATAAGCAAGTCAAGACTCAATTTCCTCATCTGTGAAATGGGCATAACAATAACTTACCTACTTCGCACAGTGTGGTTATGAGGAAAGCACAATATAAATGTGAGCTATACTGCTTCATAGTCAAAGGTCACCAGCAAAGGCAAATAGTGTTAATGGAGCTTTTGATAGATTAAAGCACAAGAGAAGGAAAAAACAGAGACGGAAAAGAAGCAACAAAAATGATACACAGGATAGAGTGTTGTAAAGATGGAAGCAGTGCTACAAAAATTCCCTTGTGGCTTTTCCTTCACAAGCAATGCATCAAGGAAAGTCTGAGCCTTATTTCTCTTTTTCAGAAAGCCAGCAGAATGATAACTTCTCCACAGATTCTGGAATCAGGGTAGTAAGTTCTGTTCTCTACCTCCCCTGTCAATCTTGTAACTTCTACAAAACACAAACCACTTGAACTAGTTCTTTATTGGTACTGTTAAGCAATTGAATGATGATTAATGAATCAATATCAGATCAATATCAAACTGGAGGACTCTCTAGCACCCTCTTCCTGTCTCTCCTACTCCCTTTTTTTTTTATCATTGACTTGAAGTCATAAGTACCATGCTTATAAAATATGTGAATAATATGCAACTAAGAAGAATAATAATTAAACATAAATTATAGAATTAAGCTACCTTAAAAAAATTCCAGTAAGCTAGAATGATGGGCTGAATCTAATAAATTGACATTTAACAATAATGGATTTAAAGTCTATGCAATTACAACAGCACTAACCCACCACCTCACACAAGCTATTGATGCCAAAAAATGGTAAAGATAATGACTTTGGTTATTACCATGTCTCACAAAAGTTTAACCAATCTGAAGCAGTTACTCCAACAAGGAGGCCATCAGAGTCTGGAAACTATCTCAGCCAGCCAATATTTAAACTGTCAATCAAGCAGAATGACAGGCAACCAAAGATAAAACTGGATTAGTGTGCAAACTCACTGGTAAAATATTGTGGGGGAGAATGGCAGAAGACCAGGAGTATTACTACGAAAAACAGTGAAGACCAGTAGAGGAAAAAACAGGAATATGATCAGAGTAGTGTGAAATCCTACTAAGTTGGATCTGTACTCCTCACTATCTCTCACTCCCCATATTTGATCTGTTGCCAAGGCTTGTCAATTTCACCTTTTCAACATCTCTTGAGTATGGCCCCCTCTCCTCTGACACTGTCACCACTCTGGTACAGGCCCACATTACCTCCCTCCTGTACTACTGCAGTAGCCTGTTGGTAGGTCTGTCTACATCAAGTCTCTCACCACCCCAATCTATCCTCCATTCAGCCACTTAAGTGATTTTCCTAAAACTGTGGTCTGATATGTCACTACCCTGCGCCGCCCCCCCAAGCAATAAACTTCAGTGGCTTCCAGTTGCCTCCAGTAACAAATACAAAATACTCTCTTTGGCATTCAAAGCCCTTTATAACCTTGCCCCCCTCCTACCTTTCCACATTTCTTATACCTTACTCCTTCACATGTTTTCTTAAATCTAGTGACACTGGCTTCCTGGCTGTTGCACAACCAAGACTCCATCTCTTGGCTCCCAGCATTTTCTCTGGCTGTCCTCCATGCCTGGAATGTTTTTCTGCCTACTCTTCAACTACTAACCAACCTGACTTCCTTTAAGTCCCATCTAAAATCCCAGCTTCTTCAGGAAACCTTCCCTACTTCCTCTTAATTCCAGTACCTTCCCTCTATTAATTATCTTCTTTTTATCCTCTTTATATCTTGTTTTTTGTACATTTGTTTGCACATTGTCTCCCCCATTAGACTGTAAGTTCCTTGTGAGCAAGGGCTGTCTTTTGCCTCTTTTTTGTATCCCTAGCACTTAGCAGAGTAGTAGGTGCTTACTAAATGTTGATTGATTGATTGAAACTAAGGGGACAACAAATAGAAAATGGAACAGATTTATCAGTTCTAATAATCTAGTCATCAGTGCCACATTTGACCTCTGTTTTGGAGTTCAAACTGGTACCTATGATGATGTGGAAATCACACTTAGAAAATGAAGTGGGGGGGTAGGTAGGTGGCCCAGTGGATAGAGCACTGGCCCTGGATTCAGGAGAACCTGAGTTCAAATGCGGCCTCAGACACATAACACTTACTAGCTATGTGACCCTGGGCAAGTCACTTAACCCCATTGCCTAAAAAAAAAAGAAAATGAAGTTGGGGGAAAAAAATGCCTGGCCCAAACCAAGTACACACAGAAGAAATCCATGCTAAAGCCATCACAGTTCTGAAATTAGTGAAGTTTCAGTTTTCATGATATCTCAAAAATGGGAAAATACCAAACAACTGGAAAAAAAATGGATGATATTATTACCAAACGTAAAGTTCTCAAAATGACATCAACTACCAATCTATGTGTTTACTTTCTCAAGTATACTTAATCTTTTATATCAAGGGTA